TGAGTTCTAGTCCTGCCTTATGTATGAAAGTCAGCTGGGTGACTTTGGGCCAATCACCAGGAGACGGTGAGTTCTAGTCCTGCCTTAAATATGAAAGATGAGTAAGTGATTTTTTTTTCACCCAATCACCAGGAGAGAGTGAATCCTAGTCCTGCCTTAGATTTGAAAGCCTGCTGAATGATTATCAGCCAATAAGCAGGAGACGGTGAGTTCTAGTCCTGCCTTAGATATGAAAGCCAGCTGAGTGACTTTGAGCCAATCACCAGGAGACGGTGAGTTCTAATCTCACCTTAGGCATGAAAACCAGCAGGGAATTTTGGGCCAATCACCAAGAGATGGTGGGATCTAGTCCCGCCCATGGGCACGCAAGCTGACTGGCTGACTCTGAGCCAATCACCAGGAGACGGTGAGTTCTAGTCAGGAAGTTTCTCCTTAGTTCTAGATTGGCTCTCTCTCCTGGATGAGTTTACTTTCATTATTTCTCAATCTGTCCTCACATGCTTTGGAGAATAGCTTGACTCCCTCTTCTTTGGGGCAGCCCCTCAAATACTGAAAGACTTCTATCCTGTCTCCCCTGGTCCTTCTCTTCCCTAGACTAGACAAACCCAGTTCCTGCAACCGTTCTTCATATGTTTTAGCCTCCAGTCCCCTTAATCATCTTCATTGCTTTCCTCTGCACTCTTTCTAGAATAAATCCTTTTTTTTTTATTTTTGGTATTCTGGTGACCAAAACTGGATGCAATAACCCAGAAATATAAAATTGGCCAAAGGATGGCTACCTTTTGATCACCCAGGAACCTTCAGGCACCTCACTGCTTGGTGCTCCCTCTGAGTTCCTAGCTGTGCCAACAATTGTCACCTTTAATTGCTTGATAAAACACCAGCTGCTGCTTTTCACCACCCCCCAAGGCAAAACCTGCCTCATTCACTTATTGTACATGAAATCAGAGATGCCCTTTGCCTTCTGCTTCAACAGTGTGCATTCACAGGTAACACAACAGAGAGATTTCTTTTTTTTTTTTTTTTGGCGAGCTCAATCAAGCCAGTGGTTGTTTTCGTTTGGTCTCCATATACCATCAAACTGGGACAGCCTTTTTAGAATGGGAGAGAACAGTTCTCAATAGCAACCCTCTTCCCCAATTACCTGCAGATAATAACCCTGCTAGAAACCAATTCTAGATAGAAGATAGATGGATAGATGGATGGATGGATGGATGGATGGATGGAT